AACTACTCCTTCTAGAAGTCAAGCATTTGGTCTTCTTGGTTTCAAAAGACAAAAAAAATCTCCATTTTAAAGACATTCCAATATAATTATTTTAATGCCTGATCACTATTAGACAACAGGAGAAACTTTGCTTGAATACCGACTGTCAGAGGAGGCTTGGCACGATTTCACAGTGGAGCTTGTTTCTAACTTTAATGACTAGGCTGAACAAAATTGTGAGTACAGCGTCCCTTCGAGAGCAATCTCTTCTCTACAAACAAACCTCCTGTTTCTGAAGCGGAACGGGGGAATCGGCACAAGCTGAGTTGCACCTCTCCAAAACTGCCAGCCTGCCCGAGAGCCCACGGAGCTTACAGGCAATGCTCTGTGGGGCAGACCTGCACTTTCATCACATGCCTCCAAAATCTCATCCAGGCTCTTTATCAGTCTTAGCAAACTAGCAAACAAACAAGCCAAACGTAAACCAAAATATTTAAAGGGGGAGAGAGCGGAGGAAGAGAGAGAGAAATCAGTGTTTACTTAACCCTGAAAACTCGGGCTCGTTTTTGTCAGAAACACCCCAAACCAACCAACCAACACAAACCACCAACCCTCCAGATAAAAAAGGCTCCAAGCCGCAGCCCCAGACATCGACAACACAATCAAGGAGCACACCCCCCCCCTCCGCGCACAGGTGCCCCTCCCCGGCCCTGCTCGCCCAAAGAGGGGCCCAGGGATGGGCAGGGGTGGGGACGGCAAGGCCTCCCCTCTCCTGGCACCCCAAAACCACAGCCCCGGGGTCCGGGGGGATGGGCTCACCGTTGAGGCCGTTGGGGATGCTCCGGTGGTGGAGGGGCGCGGACAGGTCATCCATAGACCTCCGCATGGCCCCGGCCTTGCTGTCGCCGGCGTGGTGGTGGTGGAGGTGGTGGTGGTGGAGTCTGCAGCAAAGGTTTGGAGGGGGCACTGCTGAGAGACAGGGCAGGAGACGAAGTAGCTGAAGTAGGAAACCCAAGCATGCCTGCACCAGGAGATGTTAAAGCTGAAAACAACAAAAATATGACTGTTGTCAATGCACAAGGCAAAATACGTCTTGTAACATTCAACATTTCTCACGTGTTCCGGAATCACCTATGGCATGAATAAATCACATTTTTAAATGGCTTTTAATACATATCTTTGAGTCTTACAGCCTTAAATTCATAATATACAATCTACAGCAAACCCAACAGCTTTTACTCACTTTAAAATCCTGATTATACTAGCATGGGGGTCGTGCATGAATCTCTGCCTATAGAAAAGTCCCACAAAAGGCAGTGGAAGTAAATCCAGCTCCATTGGCAGGATCATATTCATACCTGTAGAAATAACACCCTTCTTTTTTGTTCATTTTCTTCCATAGACTCAGTAGCAGATTATTAGAAAAGAAGCATTAAGCACAGTGAGAGTGCTTCCCTCTAATTGATACTTTGAGAGATCTCTACTTTGTTGTTCATTTTAACTAATTTTTATCATGCCTCTGGGATGATATAACCCACACATCCTTCACCTAAGCAACCTGGTAATTACGGTGCTCACTACAAGTAATTAGCTCTCAAATAAAAAGGAATCTTTATCTAAATGGCTGGGGGGAAATGCAATAATAATAAAGAAAGAAAGATGTTTAGATAAGTAAATATCAACAGGAAATGACCATTCAAAAAACTAACAGAACAAGCAACAAGGTCAATGCTATTCATTACTGGGACACCACACAGCTTACATTTTCATTTTTGAGAGTTTGAACAGAGCTTTTCTTTACCATGACAATCAGGTGAGTGCAGTATTTCCTGGGAAATATGTGTAATATCACTAAAGTGCTTTGACACAAGAACGTTGCTGTTCTCAGCTTACTTGAAGCATGCAGGCATGACGTCCTCCACCTCATTAGAGAAAGCAACCTAAGGATGGACTGGTTCTGTCTGGAGGGTGCATACACGCAAGAAGTATGCCTCATAACTTAATGGAAGAAATCTTTTTTCTGTTTCAAGTACCAGACATAGTGCAGTGGCTGGTAACAGTCTATTAAAATGAAACTTCTGTGAGATGTATAGTTGGTCAAAAAATTAAATGATGGCACAGGGTAGAAAAGGCAACTCACTGTAAAAGGCTGTACATTATACCCATTGTAATTTTTTCAGGCAAGTAAGTTTGCTAGAGAAAAGAGTGTACCAAGTGTGTGATGTACACAGAACTGTAAATGTGAAGCAATGTCGGGAACAGTCTACTAGCACATGGATATGGGAACAGTAAACGCAGTTTCTGTAATGGATGTTAGATGGGTATTAGCTACTAGGAAGTACTAATGGACTGAACAAGAATGATGTTTAAATCATCAATATCCAGGTGCTTAGCATTACTTAGGAATAAAGCAATTAGGATTCAAAGGGAATAATTATCAGATTTAACAAAGAGGCCATTTAATGTTTGTCACTGTGTCATTACTCCTATTTAACAGTAGAGGAACACTAAGGAGTTAAAATGAATTGTGAGTATGGATTAGATAGTACAGTGAAACAAGTCACAACAGTTATAATTAAAAAGTGGGTAATTGCCACAGTTACTGCACAATGACATCAAAGATGCTGTTTCATGTTCCTACACTTTCAACGGGAAGTAATAGTCAATTGTGTGTGGAGTCTGCTGAAAATATATTAAATGATAAATACTGTAAATGGAAAATGCATGAATGATGCAGTTAGTGTGAACTGCTGCCCCAGCTTTGTCATGGTTATTTGGGCTTGTCAGCTACTTAGGATTTTTCCAATTTCTTTCTATTCTTAACCTCTTCAACCCTTACACATCACATTGTCTTCAGTTTACTCACACTGATGATGCCCAGAGTAGTCAAGATCTATTTCATTTTCCAGATAGCCTTTGGAATTTAGTTGAAATACATAGAATTCAGTTAAATATCCAGACAGGCTAAAACAGAATAGTGAAATCCACCTGTTTTATTGGAAGTTAAACATGGAACTGAGCATTTCCAAAATTAAATGAAGAAACTCGATGAAACTAATGCGCAATTCCCAGACATGAGAGTTGTAGAGTAAAAAATTTACTAATCATGAAGAAACATTCTAATCCTGCTAACTCTTTTCAGTGATAATCAAAGGGCAGAGACTTCTTTTTCACTTGGAGGAATGAGAGTGATAAAAATATAAAAATGAAACTGCTACTGATGGGCCAAAAGCAAACAGAGAATAGAATGTAGTGCCTTAATAATAAGGAAAGTAATTGTATCTGAATCAAACTTCTCTCTTGATAAGATTTCAAAAACCACTAAGTACATATTACCCAGTGATGTGTGAATTCTTGGAAAAAGCTGCTGTGAATCCTCAATTCAGTCCAGGCTTAAATGATGTGCAAAGAACCTATGGTAATGATGATGACATTAAGAGGTTCATAGAACCAGTATTAATAGCTAGAAGCAAGATGAAGCACTAGTTTTCTGCAAGGGATCATAGGGAAGAAAAGAAAAAAAGCTAAGAGGGAAGAGAATGTGATTTTTAAGAACAGCTGAAAACAACAGGTGAACTCTTCTATCTACAGTCCCCTAGAAGATAAGGGGTTTGAAGAACAAAAACAAGTCAGAACTAAAATTCTGTATGAATTAGAATTTCACCAAATAGCTCCATATTAGGAATTATGCTGAGCAAACATAGCAGTAATTTTGAGACCTTGCTCAGCATTTGATGTCCACAAGATGGTATAATTACATTATCTAGAGAAATGTATCCCACAGGTGAGAAGATTCTTCAACATATCATCCTAGAACCACACAATAATTCTGATATTCAGACCCACTTGGTTTAGAACAAAATAACTGAATTTAAAGTTAATGGATTCTTCCATTCAGTAATGAAACTATCTTATTCTGACAAATTAAAAAATCTTTGCAAATAAAAGTCCAGTTTGAGCACTATATAAAGAACATGAACTGTACTTCCATCTTTTATGATTTAGCATTATTTTCAAGTATTCCATGTCAAACCTTTTATAAAAGCAAATATTGCATTTTAAATGGGATAGTATTTTCAAAATTTATCTGAGTTTTATACCTTTTTGGAAACCCATAAACAATACTGGGTGCAAGAATATGAAAATGAAATCCCTCATAAACTTGTATTAACCAGTGAAACTCATCAAGCTAATTTCTCTATGTAGCAAGAGAGAAGAGAAACACAAAAGAGAATTTTGAATGTGATGTTTTATATTATAATATCAAACAGCAATCACATTCTTTAAAAGTGAGGATCATACTAATGTCGACATTGCCCTTTAAACAAACATGTAAGACAGACTGGATGGGCTTTGCTACAGGAAATACAGTTATCAACCCTGTAAGCATCAATAAAACCAGGTAAATATTTGAATAAAAGTTTTCCCTGTGAGATTTCTTCTGAAGTGCGTTTTCAGGATTGGGTCCGAAAGAGACGAAATTACACACTTGCAGTGGAATTCACGAGAGCTAGACTTGAAGTATGGGATGGTGAATCATCAGGGAGTTAGCCTCAGAAAATCCTTCATGCAAAAAGTGATGCAGAACAGTTTTCCTGCTGGCTGGGAATATAAGCACTGCTAGAAGAACCGCAGGCAAAGAAAAGCTTACTTCTGAAAAGATACTTCTTAGACAATTCTCAGAATCAAACATGAATGTGAACTATCAGCCAAAGCAGGGCAGAGAAGAAAACAGAAATGCGTTAATTAGGTGCAGAAAATACTAGTGATGAGTATGTACTGGAGAACACATAAGTATATTGCTGTTTTTCTATGATGAATGATTAATCTTTTTTTTCTTTTTTTTTTTTTTTTTTCTCCACTCTCTATGACTGCTCCATTATGTATCATTAGGGAATGGAGATTTATGCATGCAAGTATTTGCCAGGCAGCAAAGGTGGGATGTAGGGGCTATTTAGCATATGGTGGAAGAAAAAGTTAACAATGAGATTCTACTAGCTAGTTTACACAGTGGGCTTTGCCCACAATGGGCTAATTAACCTTAGGAAGATTCAAGATGAAAGGGGGTAAAAATCTATCTCAATAGGCAGTGCACTGTGCATGCTATGGTACTAACGATTTAAATTTATCTCACAGAAGAGATATTTGGTGGAAATTAGAAAAATCGAATATTGAATTATTATGGACCATTTGGCCTGTAATAATAACTTCTACAATAATAAGTTTACAAACTCTGAGGCTACATTGATACTAGCAAGTTAAACAGTACCAGGGAACATTTCCCAAAAACTGAAACTAAACTGCCTGTAAAGTTAAACAGTAAAAATGGTTACTGGCACTGTTTTGGCCTGGGCCAACTATAATTTTCCTAAACAGCTCCTTGAGGACAGCTGAGAGGCTATCATGGGTCCACTACCATTCCCAAGACTCACTTTGCGTGGGGATTTCCTTTTGTTGAGAGTAAAAGAATGCAATGATAACTTCCCAAGCAAATTTCACTTAGCAGTATAGGCAAAGCCCGAGATTTCTAGAGCCCATTTTACCTGAAGGTCAACCTAACCAAAGCTATTTAGTGAAGTTATATGGAGAAACCATATCTGTAATTTTAATGAGCAATGACCAGCCATTTTTGGACGTGGACACTGTATGCCATTAAGAAGGAAACACAGCAACTTTATATTTCCTTTATATGCACTCCCTGTGCCAATAACTGTTTGACAAAAGCCAGAGGGCACTCAGCCAGAGACTCCATTGTGGAAGGAAGGCCATTCTGATCCAATGAAGAGAAAAAAAAGATGCTTCAACCACCACTTAGGGAAACAATAACATGATCCTCATCAATCAAAGCTGAGCTGGGTAGCAGAGAAGACATTGCTAGAGTCTTAGTATGTCTAACAACACTGGTGATTAGGCCCCTACCTTACTTGCCAAAGTGAGTTGCTTTCTAAATCAAAGTTTAGAGATCAACAGCAAGTGGAATTACTGGATAAAATGAGGTGAGAGGTCTTAACTGACTCCCTAACTCTGCTCTGCACAAATTTGATATGAATGTGAAAAGTTAGAAGATGAATGAGAGAGTTTCAATCTGCAAGGCTGCACTCACAATGAACTCTGACTGTAAAATTGGAGCCTAATACAAGAAAATAAATTAGGTTCATTCTTTGAGGACTAAATAAATCATTTTGCAGAAAACCTGATTCTCTAACATCAGAGAAAGTTATTGCAAGAGGAAGTGCTTTCCCATGTGAGCAAAAAACAGAGTCAAACCAGAGTCAAGTCGGTCAGTAAAACAGTTATGTGTTCAGTTAAAAGTGCAAGCCCAAATGAAGTGATATGTGTCTGCAATGACTTTAGAAATTAGGGGAAGGATATATTCAGCAACTGGATCACAAAGAAACTGTCATTAAAAATCACCTTCAACAAAAACCTTTTTATCTTAGCAGGCAGTTATTCAGATATATAATAGAGAGTCTTGGGCATCATTTTATTTTATTCTGAATTTATTCTGAATTAAACGGCAGGTTGGACTGGTCTAACGGGTGGACCAAATGCCTGATGAACTGATAATGTGGGATTGACTATTTTCTGCTTCATTGGATGTTGCTTCAAATATTTGCATACAAAAAATTTACATACAAAATTCTAACCCAAGTTTTGCCTAAAGAAGTATCATTCAGAACAAACAATGAAGCATAACAATGCTATTGTTATGTTGGTTTTGTTACAGAATCCTAATATGGACTAAACCCATTTCTGTCAATTAGATTACAATTAATTTTTTTCTTTTTTTTTCCCCCAAAATCAGAGATACCATCCAGGTTACAGCAACAACCGAGAATTGCACCGAGTACACCTCATAGCAGCACTTTTTAGCTACTCACACCAGTCTCACAAGCATGATATGAATGCATAGTATGCTGTTTTAGAAGGGGATGGTGACTATGCAAGATGATCAAATTAATAAAGAGAAAATCATCCCCTTATAGACTTACTGTTTGAACTTTGTGGAAAACCGGGTAAGGAGGATGGACCATTCATTCCAGGCAGAAGAACAGGAGGAAGGCCAGGGAGTCCTGGATAAGCTGCTGGCAAACTGATACCATGAAGAGAACTGCTGTCCATCATGCCTGGCTGCTGTACTGTTAATCCTAGTACATCAGTAGCCTTCTTTATGCGATCCAATTCTTGCTGTGCCATCAGCTGTCTAACCGTTGTAGGAGCTAAATAATCTTTCTCCCGATCTAGCTGACTTCCCACAGTTTCTCTCACTTTTGTAATATGTTGTTTGGAAAAGATATGATCTCTTATGGACAAACGCGCAGAATATTTCACACCACACAGAGAACATTCTGGTTTTGTCCCATCAGGTCCAGTCTGATTTATCATGAATGGCTTCCCTATGTTAATTTTGAATTTCTTTTCTTTAGCCCGTGCATTTTGAAACCAGACCTGGACCACACGTTTGGGCAGGCCAATCTCATTCCCAAGCATTTCACATTCCTGCATTGTTGGAGTCCGGTAGTCACTAAAGCAAGCCTTGAGAACTTTAAGTTGAAGGTTACTCATTTGTGTCCGGAAACGTTTGTGGCCTGGCCGATCACTATTTTTGGATTTAAAAGGATTGCTAGCTCCAAATGGGTTAGGTGAACTTGGATCGGCTATGCTTGAAGTTTCACTGCGGTCAGCATTATCATCAGGATCATCAGTAATGTAGTAACTTTGGTCATGATCACCATCTTTTTCACTGAAATGTATTGAGGGGCTTGTTAGGGAAAAGATAAATTTATCATCGGTATTCTCATTTGTAGGTGTAGTTGCAGCTTTTGATAGCGTGTCATTCACAAGTGGTTTTGGTTCTTTGGGAGGTGATGCAGGTTTTGCATCCCCTGAACTGCCAGTCGTGCTTTCCATTTCATTGTTCCCCTCATCCCCTGTTGTGGCATCACTAATTGCTGTATTAATTGATGAAGTCTCATCAAAGTCAGTCTTGTTTTGATCATATCCCGAGTCAGCAGGAGGGGCATTCAAATTTTCTATATCCTCACTAGACTCTGCTTTAAAAGAAGAAGGACTTAAAAGGTTCTTCGGTGACATTTCTGCAGTTTTGCTAACAGGGGTTGATACAGTGGAGGCTAATTCATTTTCACTTGATAATTCAGTTTTTGCTAATGATAGTGATGGGTAATCAAAAAATATGTACTTTTGTGGACTTTCTCCTCCATCTTCTGTTGATATCAAAGGACTCGGAGGCAAACTATAACCAGCCTGTTTCCCCTCATTCCAATGTCGAGAGCGAATGTGACTTTCTAAAGCTGACTTTGCTTTAAACAGAGCTCGACAAAAAGGACACCTTTTATGGGACTGCGCTGGACCAACTGCACGGAATTGTCCCTTTCTTTCTCGGGCTCTTGTGTTCTGAAACCAGACTTGTACGACTCTCTTTTTCAGTCCCACTTCACGTGCAATGTGATCTAGCATCTTTCTGGTGGGGTTGGAATCTAGTAGGTATTTTTCATAGAGTATTTCCAGCTGCTCTGGAGTAATTGTAGTTCTTAAACGCTTATCACGATGTTGATCTTCTCCACTGTTTCCTCCCTCTTTCTCACTACAGTTATTGTCTTCTTTATCATCTAGTTTTCGTTTCAGGGAACCAGAAACTGTAGCAGGGTGTGCTGTATGTGAGGTGCCTGTTTGTGGTGGCATCTGAGCAAGAGAACTATTAAGTAACTGTCCAGTCATCAAAGGATTATTGGGGTCAAATATCATATAGGGCATATCCATTGGTCTTTCTAAAAACTGTGAGTGAAGAAATTGATTTTGGGCTGCTAGGAAATGCATGTGCTGGTGCTCTTGCCAAAGTTCTAGAGTTGGAAAGGCTACTGTACACTGATCACATTGGTACTGTAATAACTGAGGAGGTAGACTGTTCTGTAGAGAACTCATTGAAATTGGTAAAGGACTGGAAGGAACAGGTGTGGTTTGTGATGCAGAAGGAGGTCTCCCTACTATTTGTGATTGTTTTTGTTGCTGTGATTGAGAAGTTGGGGGCTGAGGGTCAGAAGAGGTTACTGGAGTAGACTGTACTGGTTTGGTGCTTTGGGAAGTTGTATCAGTTTGCTTAGAGATGGTTTCATTTTGTTTTGGTTTTTCTGTGGACTCTGGTTTAGGAGAAGCTTTCTCAGGTTCTGGTTTTGGTGATGGAATCAAAGGAGTACTAGAACCAGAGCCAGAGCTTGCTGCTGTGACTGCCAGGCTTTTTGATGAGTCATTTTGGCCCGAAACTGTGCAGTTCTTATACACTGTTTGATCAGAGGCATCCATAGAATCTTCAGTTTGACTTTCATCTTGAGCATCGTCATCTTCATCTTTATAACACTGCTTTTTCTGGTGTGTAATCAAATCAAAGATCCTGGGAAAAACCACACTGCACTTTTTGCACTGATATTGCATGTTACTAGTTCGAATGTAACGCTCATTTGTCAGTTCCCTTTTCTCATTGTCTTTCGTTTCAGCTTGATTTTCATAACTTTTGCGAGCTTTCTGTCGTGCATTTTGGAACCATACAACAATAACTCGAGTAGGTAGGTTAAGCACAGTTGAAAGCTGTTCAATTTCATCATCCTTTGGATACGCATTTGTGTCAAAGAAGTCTTGGAGGACACGAAGCTGGTAGTCAGTAAACCGAGTCCTAGATGATCTCTTGCTGAAAGATGCGTCAGACTTGTAAGGTTCTACAGCTGAAGGTTGAGGATCTATTCTGATATCTTCCAGTACTGTTATAGGAGGGTTGCTGAAGTTATATGGAGAATCTTTATTTCTCTGTCGTTCTTTAAACAGTGTATTACGAAACCAGTGCTTGATAACTTTCTGTGAAAGACCAGATTTCTCAGCCATTTCTTGGATCTGCTCTTCACTTGGAGAATTGTTAATATCAAAATAAGCCCGCAAGATTTTTAACTGGTCATCTGTGATTCTTGTACGTGGACGCTTGAACTGAGAGTGCCGCAGGAAATTGGGATCTAATCCTAGCTGCTGCTGACAAAGCTGGGTAAGATCTGCAGATAAAGTATCCATTGGTGGCAACTGGAGGGCAAGCTGAGGAGGCAATGCAGGATGCTGCACTGGCTGCATCATAATTGGAGGAAAAAGTGGGAGATCAAGTGAAACGGGAAGCTGGACTTGAGGTGGGGCTGATGGTGGCGGTGGCGGAGGAGGAGGTGGTGGTGGTGGAGGAGGTGGCGGTGGTGGTGTGGGTGGTGGAGCTTGCAAAGGAGTGGGAGTCGTGTTCTGAATTTTTCCAGCCCCAGCTGAAGAAGGCTGAGAAGGAGTTGGAGGAGGAGGAGGTGGTGGTGGTGGTGGAGGAGGCGGTGGTGGAGGTGGTGGTGTCTCTGGAGAAGATGGAGAAATTGGATAAAGCTTGTCATACGCCTCCCTGTACTGTCGTGCAAACTTTTCTAATGCTCCATAAGGAAAAAACTGTCCATGTACATGTTCTTGATGACTCTTCAGAATAAGAATGTTAGAAAAGAGCTTACTGCAGGTTCCGCATTCCAGTTTGTCTGTGTTTTCGCCTTCACCAGTCTTGCTTTTTTTCTGCACTTTTTGTCTGTTTTCATTGTATTGGATAACCAACTCAAACCCAAAGTTCTCCAACAAAGCTTTGGCTGCATTCCCCCTTGCTCCAGAAGCTATTCTAGGAGGTGGGATGGCTGGTTCTGAGGATTTTGGCTTCTTCATATCTTTGTTTTCTTTTAGTACTTCGTTCTCATTAGTAAATTCTTGCTTTGGCTTCTCTTGTTTCTCAGAAATTTCTTCTGACTCCTTATAGGATGGCATATCCTTTATCAGCTGGCAGTCTGTGCTTACTAAGGTATTTTGTTCTGCTTTCATCAGCTTGCTACTTTGGGGCTGCTGTTTTTGGGACTGAATTTGGGGTTGGGTGGATTGATACTGTTGTGCTTGTTGCTGCAGTATCTGTAGCTGGGTTTGGCCAACATGGTGCTGAGTTTGTATCTGCTGCTTCAAATCTTCTAGCAGTGATCCTGTCATACCAGCCATTCCAGGCATACCGAATGTGGCAGAACCAGGCAAACCCAGATCTGGGCTTAAGCTAAATTCTGTCCCAGGTATATAGAATGGGAAAAGGAACTGAGGCTGTTGAAATTGCAGCAATGCTTCTGGTGTCATTGGAAAGTGAGGCAAAAAAGCTGGGTTTAGAAACTGGGGTTGAAAAAACGCAGCTTGCTGTTGCAGTTCATGTTGCAGTTGCATTTGAAGTTGTGCTGGTGACTGGGGTGGGTGATGTGTAGGCTGAGCAGAAATTAATTCAGAAGCTTGCTTTTTATTTAATTCTTTGGCATCTAAATGTGTTTCTTTGCTGTTAACTGCTGGTAAGCTCATAGATTCTAGCATTCCTTGGCTGGGGCTATTAACATTCCCTGCTACACTATTTCCGCTACTTATGTTACCACTTGGTTCTAATTTTGCAGCCCTTGCCTTTGTTTGATGAAGCACAGATCTCATATGAATTTCCAATGTAGAACTTTGGCTATATGCAACATTACAAATGCTGCATTTGTAGGGTTTGTTGTCAGTGCTGCTGTTGGTTTCTTGAGGGACAGGACTTGATGCTTCCTGCAAAACCTTTTTGAGTTTATGTAGATGGGACACTGAGTTATAGTGGACCAAGAGAATATTCTTTTGGGTGAAAGATTCTTTGCACACTGTACATTTATATGGGCGAGATGGATCTAGAAATTTTTCCATAGTAAAATTTGGCCCTTTTCTAAAAGGTAAGGTCCGCTTTGGTTCTGAGCCCATATCATCTGGAATAGAGCTACTATCACTTCCTACAGGACTTGCTTTACCTTCCTGGTCCATCTCATAATCTCTTTCTATTTCCTGTTCTAGTGCATGATCATCTTGTGCCATACTTTCACTTTCTGCCCAGAGTTCACCATTGACAGGTAAAGACGCACATAGCTGCTGAAGTTCAGCTTCGTTGAGTTCGGGGTGGCCTGCTTCCAAGTGTTTTTTTAAAGCCTGGAATGTACGGAAGCTACGCTGGCAAAGGCTACACATGGTAGCTGCCCGAATAGCATGATACTGGGAATGTATCTGAAGCTTCTGCATAGTCTTAAAAGCCAAGCTACAATGGTTACAACGGTACTTATAGACATGGCGGTCAGAAACAGAGAGCTGTTGCTTCTTCTGCTGTTCATTTAGCTGATCCGTCATTGAGTCAGTGGTCTTTATATCTTTACTGCTGCTCTTATTCCAATCTGGTGTTTCAGTAGATTCCTTAGGTGGCTTCTGTTCCTCGGTCTTAATTTCCATTCCAGTTTTTGATTCATCAATCCCAGGGGTACTTTTCTCATCCACAGGACTTTCACCTAGTTAAAAAAAAGTGAAATGTCTTTTACACAAGTAGAAGAGAATAGCACATACAATTTTATTCTTTTTCATCAGAAATCAAGAGAGGCAGCTGGTGTGCCATGTGTTGGCCTAGAAAATATGGAACCCATCCTTGCCCCAGAGTATAAAGCAGACAGGACCAACAGAAGGTTAAAAAAGTAATAAAACCCAAACACAATTATCAGACTGGCAGTGGCAGTTGGCCCAGGAGTGGCATAAGGCTTCTCTTTGTCATAAGGCAGGAGTTTATTGGTACAATGGGAGCACCAAACAAGAAAAGGAAATAAACAGCAGGAAAGAAGGAGAGAGTAGAAATGAGCACAATAGGTATGTCAGGTGGTTAGACAGAAGGAGGAAAGTGGTCTGAGGAGAGAGGGAAGAGCATGCTGTGAGAGGTAGCAACTTCCCAGCACAGAATAAAGTGTCCAAGATAAGAAACCTACTATTGGAAACAGAGGCAGAATCACTTGCCTAACATTTTCCATTGATGGTGAAAGTCCTCTAGGACTGAGTCTTATTTGCTGGTTAAACAAGGAGGGCCTTACCTTCAAAGTGGCTAGGCGTTGCTGTTTAATTTTACCTCTACCAAAAGCAAACAGTCTGGCATATATATGCATTCCAGTAGCTCTGCATGGGTGCAGTCAGCCAAATTCAGGACCCTTGTTACTTTTCTTTTTATCTCTGTGGCTACATGCAAGCCAAAAAGGATTCACTTTACTAAGAAAGAAACAAGTGGTTTATTTCTAAATTGGCCATACCTAGTTTTTACATGTCTGGGCTTTTTCTTGCATACCTGGATATTTCCCAGATCCCTCAGTTGTAATGGTTGCAGGTGTGTCACGTTCAGATTTCTCTGAAGCAGCTGCTGGCAATAGCATACTATTGGGCATCATGACATCTGGTACAGGAACCTTTGACAACCAAGAACACAGTAATATTATAGGAAAAGTCACACTATTTAATACTACACAACAGTATGAAGTTGTAAGTCAAACGATCCACCACATCTGGATCAAAGACTGCCAGTACCAAACCAAGATCTTGAGTCAGACCTTGATAATGGTTTCTGACAGACCACAAATCCAGAACATTGGATGTCCCTTGGTGGAGAATCAACTCAAAATAATCCACAATAAGGTGATACTATAGAACTACATACACTCAATATTTCACTGGTCTCAATGTCACCACAAAGAGGTTTGCTGGCTATGTCAGGTTGGTTGGATTTATCAGGGGAATTCTCCTTGGACATCCTCCAAAGATGGAGATCATGTTGAGATATGGTCACCAGTCAGTTCTTGACTGAGGGCATTCCCACTTTGCTTCACCTGTATTGTTTTTTAAACAAATGCTGGACTTTCCATGATCTTTGAAAGAAAATAAGTTTATTTCCATAGAAAAATAGCAACTTATTTCCATTTAAAATAAAAAATTCATTTCTTTTCTTCAATTGCTTATGTTATCTCCTTCAAAATTCTTTACCTATTGTGTTATGCCTTCAAATTATAGACAGAAATCTTTGAAGGATGCACTCTTATAGGTGTCCGATAGTACTGTTTAGTTAAGTTGACATCAATATTTCCTCAATACTTCATGTTTTCTTTTTGCTCAGATCTTTAAAACATATTGATACATGAAATAAAGGATTGTCTAGGGGTTCATACTAAGGCTTAGCAGAACTGGGTTCAACTTAGCAAGACTCCACTGCCAGACGCTGTCTAAATGACCTTGGATAAATCAGTTCAGACTGTGCTGCAGCTGCAGCTCCTCATCTCTAATGTAAGGATAGTACTTCCTTACTTCATACAGAGTAACAACAATATCCAGAGAGATTTTTGAGTGGTAAATTACTGAAATAATGGAAGCTACATACATTACTAGGTATGAGAAGAAACATCTTTTGTTCTTCTTTAAGAGTTTAACAGATTATTTTAAAGCTTTATTAGGATACATAAGAATGTTTTATATATATATATATGTATTTATGTATGTATGTATATCAGTTGCCTATTGGAAAAAATATTCTAGACATATTTTAAAAAGCCCTGGGCTTAGTATATTTGTAATTTAAACATGGCATTAATAGCATCCTCTCAGAGGACTAGCGACTTTGAGTTCATTTGGAAGTGAAGAACTTTTATAGAAAATTATGTACATAACTGTAAATGTCCCAGAGAAGAAAAATTTACTATAATTGGTATTTATTTTGATCAGAGAGGTCAGATATGGACAGAGCATATTAATGTTAGCAACTAGGACAATTTAGGTAATGCAGATTACGTTTTTCAATCTCTTTCTCCGTCAAACAAACTTTTTTTTTTTTTTCCTCTCAGAAACATTGAGACAACTCCCTAGCACCTGGATTCAGTTGCCCCTTTATCAGCACAGAAGGAATAATGGAGAACTTGAGAAGAAAGCTAATACTGTTCAATATGGGGTGTGGGGGGTGTGTGTCCACATTTTTCCAGTTTTGTAAAAGGGTCTAGGAAAGTTAAATTTCTACTCCATGTTCCTTGTGGTGCACCAAAATTACATGGTGTGGGAGGTTTAGAGTTAGTATAAACCAAGGAAAAGAAAAGAAGAATCCCCAATTCTGTATTTGCTTATCAGCACTAGACACAACAAACCCTAGAACATCAGTCAAGAGCTCTTTCAATTCTTCCTCATTTTTTTGCCGCTTCATTTGGGAATGAGGTGGTAAGCCTACAACCACAACCATATAAACGAAGGAGTTATTTATGGATACAGAAATAAATCCTTAAGGAGGTGGATCCCTGAGATTTCCAAATGTATTTCCTTTTAAAAAGGCAAGACAACTAGAATTAGGGTTTCTTGAGAGGTCTGGTTTTTAACTGAATCAATGCTGTAATAATAAATACATTCGAGACCTGATTGTGTCTTTACTGACATTGTTTTGAATGGTGCTGAGTTCTTATTTTTCACAGATATTTATTATTTTGACATGGTTTGTACAATTTTTCAGGGAAGAACAGGATTTTCCTGGTGAGGTTGGAGTGGGATTCATCTTCCAAATAGAGTTTGCTGGTTATAGCATTCATCCCAATCATGCAGAAGCCAGGTCAAGCCCCTGACTGATCCAGGATAGGTACCTGAAATCAGATTTTCCGTATCCTAAAGAACTGACCTAACTGGATTGATACCTATTCTATGACTTGCCTTTCTGTTTCATACATTTTATTCACAAAAAAACTAAAGGGTCTTTCATGCAAAAGTAAAAACCAGTACATTCTGTACAATAAGAAAATCATGGTCTCCAATTAGCAACACAATTGATACTCTACAGGTAATTTCATGTACTACAGTGCAAGCACAGTCCAGCTACACACAGGAATACTTCTGCATTTGGGAACTACATTCTATGGGGAATTCCTATTCTTTTACAAACAGAAGTGACAATATCTCTGAGACCTGGATATTATTAGACCCAATTTACAGGTGTGCACTTAGATACATGGACAGGCTTGATTTTTCTAAGGTTAACGTCAATGAGGAACTGCAGGTTTCCAACATCTTTGAAATCTGCCTTCAGTCATTTTCCCAAGGGACATCAGTCACTGGATGAGCTGGCAACAGAAGCTAAGAGTCCTGATCCACTCTCTTTCTTGGGCTCGCTGAATACAACGTCATAACAAATACATTGCCCAGAGGCCCCAGTACATTTCTGTAGCATGTGCATCGGTATTTGGAACACTTACTGTCATGAGCAGTTTCTCCACACAGTCAGGGGACACACTGTGCAAATGGGTCAAATGAAGCTGGAGATGCATTTTGTTGCTGAGGACATCCTGGCAGAGGGGGCAGCAGATAACAGGTTGCATTGAATGCTGTGACAGGACATGCATCTGGATACGATTTGGGTCCCTACTATTGTAGTTACAATAAGGGCATTGATAGAACTGAAAAAAAAAAATCAAATTAAGATGAAGGCTATTAGTCAGTGTGCTTTTCATGACTTACTGATATTGCTATTTTAAAAGCATTATAATCTCTGTTTCATTCTTGAGTTATTTGAAAGAGTTCTAGAATGCAATTAAATTGTTACATTTTCTTTTACCTGCTCATGACAAAATTTACTGTCCTCTGGAGGCTTTGATTTTTTAGCTGCACCATCCTCTTCTTTTGTCAGAAGAAGTTGTTGTGCCCCTACCACAGTGTTCACTTTTGGTTCCTTCTCTGGTGTGACTATTCCTGTTCCGAAAACATAATTTTTAAGAACATATTTTAGACTTTAAAATATCCTGATTTACAAAGAGACTGTGATTCCAAAGGTTTGTCTTGTCCTTGAGGGTCTTTTTTTTTTTTTCCTAAGTTCTGAGAAAAAATATAGTTGAATAAAGCAACTCTGGTAAGCACAATGGTGAAAATACACTTTTATTCTTGATGGAGACTCTATAAATACATTTAAAAATGAACTCCTCTCTACTGTTTAGATAACCTTAGGTTGCCTTTAAAGATTAATCAATAATGTTCTTTCTTCAGCAGCTCAGCATGAATTTGTGTATTACATTAAAACAAATCAGCTTTTGCTTAAAAATCCTGTTTTCCAAAATAATTAATTTGCCGCTGTTTAATTACCCTCTCTCTTTTCTAAACTGTCTGAGCAATATGATTATTGTGCTGTTTTGATAACTCCTGCCTGGTTACAATTCTGAAGCTAAATATAGTGAGGCTTTAAAAGAAATACTGTGGAGAATAGGATTTCAGAGCTAACTTAATATTAATTATATACAAAGATCAGTCATTTGGGATTGCCTTAGATGTTTACACTGTGAATTTTTATAGTCTGGCATTTGTGATCAAAACCAGAATATAATTGTTTTCTATAGATAGTTCTACTATTAAGTATTAAATACTATATTTAATATTATGCTTGAACTAGCTGTGTAATGCGGCCCAGTCTTGCACACATCAAAGAAAAGAGTGCAATTCTAATTTCCCAGTCCATCAGAAAATTCTTTCCAGCGTCAATTTGCCAGATAATCTCTTCTGCTAGGCTGGATATTACAAGAGCATTGGGTAGGCATGTCACATACATCTCACGACAAACACAAAACCTCATTTACCAACCATTCCAATCTCATCATAGTGCGGCATCATCTGACCTTTTTTCTGCTGTTTATTATGAGTATTTCTAATTTTAACTTTCAATTTTCACCATCTTCTAGTCAATTTGCAACTAAATTATTTCCAGGGTGAGGACACTATCACTGGACACTGGGTGCAAATACATCTTGAAATGCAATGAAGCTAAACCATTGATTGCTATCAGACCCAACGTAAATATATAGTCCAGGGGTAATCTGATTGTATGTTGTGCATGAAGATTTATCTTGATTTTTTTCAATCCACATAAGGTTCATATAAATGAACAAATTGCATCTCATTGCACAATAACCTAGCATTAATTTTAAAATAAGGTCATGGATGTTTTGGCACAAAGCAAACAAAGAAAATACCTGTATTTTTCTGTAGACATAACTAAGAACTTTTTATTATTATTATTTTATTAGACAAGTAAAATAAGAGAACTGTTTTTAAGGTGAATACCAAATCCTCGTGGTATAATAATAAACAATTTAAAACTGAATCATACAGGGACATTTTCTGAAGGGCTTTTTTTAAAAAAACATAAAACATATTTTATGACTTATACATTAATGGTGATTTTCCCACACATTGTTTTTCATTCCTAAATTGCTAATTATTTCTTTTGGTGTAATTTAGGCCAATAATTTTTGCATGTTCTTGCTCAAATTAAAGTTCATTTCTGCCATATTTCCCCACTTTTAATGAGCAATTTGTCAACGTCAGTTTAATATCTGAACAAGCTGCTTTCTGGAGCCCCACTGAATTTTTACACTCTCAGGAACTGATCGTGGAGGCCTCATTTAGACTGCTCAGTCAGTGTTGTGCTGACGACCTGAAGGACTAGCGACGCTTAAAGGCAATATCTACATGATGCAGGCACATAAGGCACCATTTTATTACTCACTTTGGTTTATGATAACGCAGTAGTCCCTGGCCTATCTGTATTTACCTGGCAATACGGGATTATTATTTAAATGTCTTAGCTGTGAGAATTATGGGAAGTAAAAAAGCGACGTACTATATTAACAGAGAAAGGTCTTAGAAGGATAGGTTCAAATTATTAACCTCTCTTCTTTTCCAACTGTCAAAACCACCGAACAGTTGAGTGTTGTTTCTTACCTTCATCATATGTCACTTTTAAAATGTACCTTTTTAAAGACAAATGGGCCAGAATCTCAGCTGGTGTAAATGGATACTGTTACACAGGAAGCTGAATTTAAAAACCAAACTAAACAATTCCACCTTCTCTTCTCATTGTTCTCAACAGGTTATTACAGAAATTAGAATCCAAATTCTGCTCCAAAATTCACTTGTGAAAATGCATTTAACTGTGTTTTGGCAGTGGTATTTAACTGCTAGTGAAATTTGTTTGGAGTGCACTCAGTGTGCTCCTGGGCACACACAAGGTTAATATTACACATCATCTTCCACCACAGGATGGAATAACTTAATTACTTCAAAGGGCCTATAATAATCATGAAACACATAGTTCTTGTTTCTATAAAAACAAGGGGGTTTTTTGGTTAAATTTTCTTTTGCGGTTAATATAATAAAACCGTTGAGTTATAAAACACTATGCTGGGGTCAATAAATGCATAACAAAGCACAGCTTTTTGTTATGTTTACTATGATATTTATATAAACTGTCAAAATTTACAGAGGCTTTGTTGTTTTTGTTATTGTTGCTCTGGATTCATTCAACCCCAAGCACTGTTACTTCTTAAATGACTGAAGTTACATCTGGCCTATAGTAAAGTAACCAAGTCCATGAGTTATGGTGAGCTTTGAAAAAAAAAACAAAAAAACACGGAGGATTGATCTTCCCTCTGGCATGGGGACGCCCCTGCACGTGGTGAGAACTGAACCCCCGAAAGCCAGAGCATACGTGGCACAAAGGACATCTGCTCCTTATGCAATGGTCCAGCTTTTACAACTCAGTTCCCCATCTTGTTATATCCATTTTCTGCTTTCCGTATTGAATTCACCATTTTAAGAAGCTTCTTGCGGGGAGGCTGAACAAAGTTATGGTCTTATAGGAAGGGTATTGAATGAGGAGGGAGAGAGGAGAGGAAAACACTATGGTCCCGAGTACGCTGTGCAGCACTGTTTTCATAGCTAGATGTTCCACTGGCATGCTATTCTTCCCAGGCAGTTGTAGGAAATACACACTTTTTATTCTTGAGACACATTATTTGTTTTTTTTCCCCTAATTGTGAAACACAACTGTAATCCATTTTATAATATAAAATATGCAGCATTATTTTAGATTAATAATATAATTTCAATACATTTAGCTCAAAAACTAAGTTTAATTACAAACAAGTGCCATGAAATAGAGTACTCAATGACTGCCTGTCAGTTACAGAATTATTTAACTTGTGCAAAATTGCTAATATAAAAATGACATAATTCACCACAATTCAGATGTCATCACCTTTGTAACATTTCTGAAACCCCAAAATAAAACTAAAAATGTTGGTGTGACTAACAAGAAGGATAAAGTTAATAAAATACGTATACTAGTGAAAAAAATTTCTGGAAAAGCCATAATCGAAATACTGTTTTCTTATTTATGAACCTATGTATTTGATAAAGATTGAATAATTTAAGACTTTTGACACATCAGATGATGTTATTCAGCCTCAAAATAATTCTAAAATTATAATTACTGGTAGAGTATTCTTTCTAATTAGAGTAGAATGAAAGGATAATTTTCATTGCAATAATGAAGGTTAATTTCCATCCTTCCTCATGTTTACTACCTTATTAAAAAGTGCTCCCCTTAGCCATGGCAGAGACATATTACATTTTCAATGCAAATGTATTAATCTGGATAAATTCCATATTAATTCTTGCACTGCATAGAGCTGTAATTTGGATTATAATTAATCTAAAGTGGCACTAGATTTAAATGACAATATAAATGAGGCATTAGTAGGCTTTTCTATTCTGAATGAATATTCAACAAATATAACTTGCATATTGCCAAGTCTCATTTTGAAAGCTCTACTCCTTGAGATAAGGTAAGCAATACAGCACAACAGCTTACACAAACATACTGTTACTAAATACATGTTAATCCTTTCTTGTCTAATAGATTCTATGCTAAAGAGGGGTCACACCACTCTCCTGTCTAACTTGTTAGTATTGTGATTAATTTATTGGTTTTCCTGAGATTTCTTTGGCAAGACTTGCAACACTCAATTCATGAAAAAGCCCAAATTAACATTCAATTATACATAAGCAGTTATGCAGTCATTAGAAATACTTGTCAGCTAGAGTGAAAATTAAGATGATGGTCTGAATGTTACATATGCTGAATTAATTTAGATTAGAAAAATACAAGTTTCTAAAACATTTAGGATTTTATGGTACAAACTATTTTCTGCAAAGCACAAAGGCAATCATGTATTTCAGCCCTTGTTTTTATATGAATCTTACTGCAAAGTTATTTGTGTAATTGCTGGCACGGGAATGCAGAACAATTATGCTGTTTTTTTCATAGTGCACCCAGTAGGCATCTGGATATAGGTTTGTCCTAATTAAACTGGGCCCTTATGAGTGGCTAATCCTGATGGAATTTTGAGAATTCCCCTTCAGTATTTTTTTCTAGATTCCTTTTTTTTTTTTTTTTTCTTTTTTCTTTTTTCTTTTTTTTTTTTTTCTGGAGCTTTAATACCGTATTCTTTCTTGAACATTTAGAAATGGACCTGCCTAAGAAAAAGAGAGGTCTGATAAACTCCCTGAAGCAGTTCACAGTGTCCCCTAGGCAGAGTGTAGGGTAGGAAATGCAGGCTGCAGGTGGCTGTTGCCCCTCTCCTGGTGAGTGTCCCTGACAGCCCCTGATGAGACTGCACGGGAGAATCTATGTTGGCCTGGCAGCATGACTTTACTGCACTGCAGACAGTTTTTACCAAGGCAGAGACCCAGCCAAGGGGGATATATATTTTAAACCACAGCACAGTTTCTTGCTCAACATCATCCTTGTCATCATCGGCCTTTCTTCAGTCTCTTGATCTCAAAAAATAAAGCTACTGAAGAGCAGCCGAGGTTCTAAACTGTGATGGGTACTGACCTTAGCATGTCAACAAGAAAACTTCAAGGAAGCTTTAATCTTTAAGTCAGTCTTCTGAATTGATTCGGCATAGAAAGGGCCATCTATAATATTTTTTGGAAAATAAATCCAAAAATGTTTAATATGTAAAGAGCAAATTACAGTATGGGAGAATTTGGGTGTAAAGAAGCTCATATGGAATATGGTATTTTCTCTACAACTATATGTCTTTATGGACAATACAACCTCCTTTGTATGCCGCTGTCATTGGCATACAAGGAAAAGATATATGACTACCTGAAACTAATAGGCTTCAACCTGTTTCAGCACTTCTTCTGCTTCAGTGAATCCAACATAATGTAACTAGGTATAGCGTGCGGCAAAAGTAGCCAATGTAATATTCATCGTGACCATAGATTTCCATCTCATACATAAAAAGCATGGATGAAGTCACATATTTGCCAAATCAAACACAGAAAAAGCCTTGGGTATCTACACCAGATGCTGGCCCTGGGTTTGTTTGTGCACAAGTAAATGTCATGACATAGGGGTTTTGTTTTCAAAGACAGTAGCTTTCATTACGGGACTTTGTCTATTCCAGGAGATCAAAATTACCCAACCCATAATCCGTTTTCAATGATATTTCCTCTTTCTTAGGCTGAATCATCTGTAAACTTTTTCACTGGATTTTGTGTATTTTTTTCAAAATGCATCAAATAAATGCCCAGGAAGAGGCCAGATTCTTGGGAGTAACTGATCAGAGAGCAAGAGCAAAAAATAATAAAAACAAAAAAACCCACATTCTTTGCATTAAAAGGGGGGCAAAACCTGATTGAAGAAAAAATTCAAGTGCTACCTAATCCTATGCTTATGAAAAATTAATATGCCATCAGAGGAATCACAAGTACAGCTAAGATTAATGAAAGGCGCTTAAAAAATTACAAGCACACAAACTGATTTGATTAAAAAATAATCTCACTGGTCGTCCTGTAATATTCTTCAACTTATCCGCATCTATCCTGTCAGATGGTTATGATTAAAAATAGGTCAATGGGAGGCTACTGATAGAAATCACATGCAAAATGCACATGCAATGAATAGTAGTGGAAATGTCCAGACAGTTTAAAATGAAAGAGCATTTCATAAGTTAAAAAAAGGGGGAAAACAAAATTCTAGCATCTTACCAGAGTCTTTACTAGATTTTTTGCCTTCACTATTGTCTCTCTCACTTGAGTCTTTATCATCAGCCACAGACACTGATGTACTTTTAGCAGACCCTTCCGTATCTTCACCTTGTTCTTCTGTGGATAAGCACAGAAAAGATCTTAGAAAACAAACTCAGTGACCACTTACCAGCAGTTAAAAAATATGTCCTGTAATAAGAACAGAACTAACAGAGGGTGTCAAAACAGGGTGGAGGAGGGGTGGGGGGAAGAAAATGGAAGAAACAGAACTTTAAGGAGGTTGGACATCAATTACCAATAATTTGCAATATTTCAAAATCTATCCAGAAATTCTCACCATGTCTTTATCAGAGTACCTGCTTTCCACCACTGTGACAGATTTAAAGCCTGTCATTTCATATTCTTTGGCTAGAAATGATTTGCGTTAATATACATGCACACTCATGCACACACACAACACACAGGCTGGAACCTGGAACAAAAGCAAGCACATGTAAAAATGCATCTTGGAGCCAAGAAAAAAAAGAAAAAAGAAAAAAAGAAAAAAAAAAAAAGGGCGAATTGCAGCATAAATCCTATTAGTGAAGCAGTATCCCGCTAATTGCAGTAAGTAAGTATTAGGTATTAGGTACTGTATTAAATATAAACCTCTGGCTTTGCGGGAGAAGTCTCAAATTTTGTCTCCAGGGGGAGCCATTCAGGATAAATGATGCAACTTGGTATATGGTTTCTGAGGAAGCAGCATTGCCCACACCTCACTTACGTGTTCACACCAGCTAGATTACATGGAAATCTTCACAGTAACTCAGGCCCATTTAATTATTCGGTAAATCTTAGCTATGCTGCTACTGGTGGATTAATCTGTTTATGCAGTTAGCTTCTATGCTGGGGCTGTGTAGCACTAATCCGTGAAAGGCCCACTGTTCCTTTTCATCCTGTGATCATTTGTCTCTCACTGTGCTGATGTCACATTTTAATGAATTTTTAGCAATCTGAGTAATGCCAGATAACCAGACTTGCAACTCCCTACAGCACAGCATGCTGTTTTCATTGCTGCACACAAAAAAAAATAAAAATCATATTTCCCAATTCAGGTAGGAATTATATAAATTAGGAGGTGAAGGTAAAATGGGATGCGAAGCACCAGGCCGCTCAATTTCATAAAATCTTTAATGACCATATAAATTAACCCTGGAAAGGCAAAAGGTCACAGACACACATTTGCATACACTCTTCTATTCACTTTTGATAAGCAGAGCTTTTATGCAAGGAACATGATACAATTAACCCTTCAGGAACCATACAAAATGCAGCTACCGACATTTTAAGTGTCAAGCATTAACTGAAAATTACACACTGCATAAAATTTTCATTGTAAATGCTATAGTGATTGAAAGGGGAAATAGTGGCCCTCTTCGCACCCCATGTTTTATTAATAACATTCTGACAGCCGAATGAAATATCCTCTGTCATATGTAGCAGCTGAGCACAAAAAAATTGCTGCTTAGTGCCTTGCTTGCCAGCCATGCACTGAAACTGTATGCCTAGGCAAACAACTCTCAGATTGATGTGGTGAACCTATCCGACTCTGAACTCTTTGCAAAACCTTTTGTAAATCGGAAGAGAAAAATACAGCTGCAATTTTGGAAACCAAACAACAAAAAAAAAACCCAACCTGAACCACAGATCAATGTGTTTTGCATTGACATCGAAGTACAATAGGTTAGGACTAAGCATGCATGTCCACTTTTTGGAACAATACGGGAAGAAAGATGGTCCCCTATTTTAAAAATAATTGCATATATAAAAAAAAAAAAAAAAAAATTTCCATCAGAATGGAAACCCCTCTCATGCTGTTTTAGCTCTCTTCCCCCTGCAGTCCTCTGCCCCCTCCCGCGATGATAGCTAATCAAACATGGTAGGCATCCCTGTCGCAGCTGGAAGTGGGGCTGTGTTTGTCAGGGTGGCGGGGGAGCAGGGTTTGGGATGCTGCGAGCCTGTGATCATGCCTGGCTCGGGCTGTGTTAATGCCGAGCGTGCACACATGAGGCTCGTATCCAGTGTCAGGCCGGTCGCCTCACAGAGCCGATGGCAATCCCTTTTCGACTCATCCTTGGGAACGGATGCATTGCTTCTTTTACTAGATTTACTGGCCCAATCCCCCTGGGCTGGAAAATGAAGTGTCAAAGTGCTACTGAGTGTCCTTATCTTGAGGGGACATAAAATTGTAAGGGCTATCGTGGCACACATTAATAAAACATTGTGTGTGTGTCAGGCAAAGAGAAAGAAAATTATGAAGGTACTAAAAGAAAAGCTACAGTATCATCTGGGTCTCATCAGACAATTTTTGCAGGGTGCTCTCCTGTTTTTCTGGTATGTGTTTTAAGTGTGAGAGAAATTCCCAGACATGTTCTCCTATACATCATCGTGGTGTCTGACCTCAGCCTGACCCTGGCAACAGTTTGAGAAATCTGAATGTGAACAAAGACTCTGTGTCAGCAGCAGGGAGAGATTGCGGGATAGACTTTCCCCATCAACTTAATCGCAAACAGCAGTTCTGAGGCCATAACTTTACAGGGCTCCACCAAGCCACAAACACATAACCTTTAGAGGTGAAACTGCCCCCTGCTCCCCACCCCCCCTTCTGTGATTTTTCTCAGTCTTGTGGTGCTCCCTTTGATGTAGCAAGGCAATTAGCTCTAATGTTCAAGTACTGCAGACCTGTTTTATGGTTTGGAAGGTGAGAGCTGTTTATTACAGGTAGGCTCCTGGGGGCCATAAAGGCTTTGCAAATTTTTAATCATGCAAAAAACTAATCAAAATGTAACTTATACACACCATAAAAATTAATATCATTATTATGCACGGTATAAATTGCTTGCCCTGGCTTTCAGTGGCACTCACTTCTAGAAAATACATTTAGCATTCATTTCAGAAATATGTATGGCATTCACTTCAGAAATAAATTTCATAGACAGAAATGATAATACAACTTCTCCTATTTTCCTTCAAAATTACAGAAAGGCTGTCTAAGATTCACACTGTTGCAACATTTATCAAAGGGACAAGATGGAAATACAACAGCTCTATCTTAAAAGCAGCTAGCAAATTACCAAAAAAATCCTTAAGACCATTCATTAGAACAGATATTGCGGATATGTAATGAAGTGTGCTATCAAAGACACTGCAGACCTATTCCAAGATGCTACAAACATCTTTGTTTAGTAACATTTTTTTTCTTACTTTATATGCTAACCAACAAGGATACTATTTAGTTATAAAAATGTGATGGCCCCTGCTCAAAGACACAAAATTATGAATTATTACATATCAACAAAATACAGTATGATGATGCTACAGATTCCAGAGCATGTTCTCTAATGTTCTGTTTTAAATTTACAAGAGTCCTGCCTATATACATTTACAAATGTCAGCTTTGAAAATGAATAGAACACCGGATTCAAATGTACTTTAATGGCTTTAATAACACTTACTACTGCAATATGATATTTTATTCACACCTGGTTTTATTTTGTCCAAATGTTGAAAATTTCTTTTGATGTTGGATCTCTTGAGTTTAGCCATTATCAACCTTTTTCCTCACAACTGACTTAGAATTAAACACAAAAATGAGGTTAGCAGTCTGCACTAAAACTGTAAAATAAGGAAAAACAGAAAAGTTAACCTTAAGAGGTAATGTTAGTCAGCTGATATTGTATATTATATATTCTACATCATATACTTTAATATGTTAATCTACACTCTCAGGCCCCAATTCTATACAAATTTTATGAATAAAGACCCTTATGACCTTCCCCAGCTCCATGAAGTCAAGATGTATGATGATTTCAACTGCAAAATCCAGGCCTCAGCCAAAGTTGAATAGCAGATACCAGCATCAAAATTAGATGAATATTCACACACCAATTAGAAAAGCCTGATTTACTGAGATGCAAATAAAGATACAAATGCATCTACCATAGCCAAGGGAAGGTATAGAGAAACAAATAATATTTTTTGAAATAAAATCCTGAAGAGTTAAAATAAGACATGAAACATGAAGACATGAAATGGGTTGAAACAATTTTCTCTCCTTTAATTTAAATGCATTGTAATAATCACAGAGGCATATCAATTACCTTTCCTCGTGGTTTTTTCAGAGAACTTTCCCTGCTGATGACCAGTGCCAGGAGTCTGTCTTCAAGTCTATTTAAGCAACATATTATTTTCAAGGGTTGATTTTGGTTGGGATTTTTTTTCATCACTGATACATTAATCAACAGCTAGTAGTTCCTGTTTTGGTCCTAGATTTTGTTGGTGGTGGTGCTGGTATCTCTTTTGCCCTTTCCAAATTGCAAGTAATTTCCTAAATAAGGATGATCTACTAGTTGTGGGTGAGTAATTGCGGTTATGAGAGAGAAAGCAAGATTAAGCAAGTGTTTGTGGCTGAGGGCCAGATGGATGGGGAAAGAATAAATCAATTTACTGAAGTAGTAAGTAAATAAATATGAAATGACAGAGAGATTTTAAAAAATAATTGGGGTTTGTTATTCAATATGTTCAATAAATTGCTGAACCTAAGGTACCCATAAGGTGTATCCCAGGTTCAACTGGTAGAGTGAATGGCTTATTGAGATTAACAGTCAGTGAGAAGGCAACCACTAGGAAAGAATAATGGAAGGGTGGATTGGAGAGATGGACAGACAAGAGATAATGTGGGGAAAGGAGAAACAACTAACAAAAGGAAATAGAGAAAACCCCACAGAATATGCAAGAAAAGAAACAATTAACTAAAAGCAGGTCTTGGGCTTGTGGATTTACTTCTGTGTTATCCTGGTTACACTACTTAGTTGATAAATTTTCCCTGAGTTCTGGATTGCCATTTATTCACCCAAATACTCCAGAAAGTATTTATTCTATTTTCTGGCTGGTCTTGCAGAGCATGAGTGAGGAACAGGATGCCTCACTCATTCAGGATCTTGACTGAATCCTCTAGTGGTCATATTTCATCTTCAAATAGGATTTCTAATTTCTCCTTTACAGACTCAAGGGGAATAACGGCACCAACTCGTTAATAACTGTTTCTAATCACTGTGTTATATTTAAAACCATAGCTG